ATTTCTTATACTTCTCAGCCGCTTGATTGGCATTTCAATTAACGAATTGGTCATTTGCATGCAGCACCTTGGACGCTTGATTGATTTTATAAGAGTTTCCTGTGGCTTGGTTCGCGAAAAGAGAGTTGGGGTTTCCTTTAAGAAATCCTGAATATAAGAGGCTCAGTCGTTTTTCTTTGCAAACTCCATTTTCAATGGGAAATACGGGTTGATTTGATTCTTGGTTTCCTCCATTTCAGGAATCGTCTCAACTGATGCTTTAATGACAGCAATCCATCAACCTTTTGGGGTAGTTTCCTTAGGTCAAGGGTGTTTCCATTTCAACCCTCAAAAAGTGATTGATTGGTGTCCTAGTCGAAGGATGGAAGTGCCAGACAGATATTTTTACTCAGACATTTTGTTTATGTATGAGTTTTTTTAAATTGGAGAAAAAACACCCGTGTTGTTTAAATAATTATATTAGGTAAGAACTTCCCGAATTTTGCTGAATAAAATGTCGACCTCCATTACGGACCCAAATCCAAATTTATGAGTACCATATCGCCCCGCATCGAGTTCCTAATTACTGCACATGTGATCCGCCTCATGCCATTTACGAAAGCTTTGTAATTTGCCATTGCTTTCAGGACGCTCCTCTGTTGCCCACCCCAGGAAACCCCTCCCCCAATCAAGAGGCGATGGTCCAACCCTGAAGCCCTGGAACGCTGAAAACCTGAAACCCTGATGCTGCTCGGCATTTCAACGCACTTCTGGCTGGCACTCGTCTCGTGTGCGGGTGCTGTGGACATATTTATGTCGCATTTGGGAACATTTCATCCTCATAAATATTATTCATGCTCCCGTTCCTTCTCTTTTGAGGGTTGTGCTCCTGCCAGCCCCAACCGCCCTTTACAACCCAGCAGCCGAGCAGGATTGCTGAGCTTTCAAAAGCGGAGAGACACGGAAAGTTCGTTACTGTTGTCGACGGAACATGTGAGGAAAGTATCAAGGAATCCATCAGATAAGTGAGAGTCAACTATGAGGCCCTCCCTTCCTCTCGAGTTCCACTCCCTCGGCGTCTTGGCCAGTAAATTGTCAAAGTGACAGCTCCCAGGGAAGAGCAGAAAAAAGAGATCTGGGAAATAAGGGGAGTTTCGACCATCACCTTCCCTCTGCGATGTTGTCCTACGGGTTCGGCAATTCCTTGGGTTTGATTTAATGTTGCGTGTGATATATCACGGTCCTCACGACATTTTGCTTTTATTTCACGCTTATCGAAGTTGGTCCTTCGCCTTGTACCGGGTTCCCCTCCTCTCGACCACTTTGCCACATTAAATGTTCGGAATTTTCCTTTTTTCGGTTCAGATGGCGTCAGTCTGGCACTCAGTCAGCTCTGACACATCTTATTCACTCGCTGTGTGCCTCTTTCACTCTAACTCCCGGCTTTTGTCCTTCGCCATCAACTTCGATTCATTTGCCGCAACCAATAAATCACTCATTTCATTGTGTACTATGCTTTTTCTCCTACGCCACTCTGAAAACTTAAAAGCCACACTGGGGCAAGATGGCTATTGGGCAGCCAACATGTTAAACTATTTCTAGGAATTCACAATTTGTTTACCATTGCATGTTCCTTTCAGTCATATGCATAATTCTCTAATACTTGTTTTCCGATGGCTAAAACGTGTGCTGATATCGATATCAATCTGCTACTTATCTGTCACACATTTTTGATTTAATTATTCACAGATAAGATACAAACTTGTATCTTAAAATGAAAGTAGATAGCTTGACCTTATAAAATATACATTCTCCTTTGATCAAGTTTGATATATATAATCATGTCGGTATTTAAAAATTTAGTATTTTAGTCCTAAATATATTTTATTTAACATTCAACTTATTTAAATTGCATGAGTGTAATTACCTTGAAACATAATAAATTGATTGATATTATCAGTCCGATTTAATATTTTCAAAATGTCTGTTGTTAAATGTTAAGTTTTCAACCTTTTTTCGAGTTATATTATTCAATATTTATTTTAATTATCCAGCTCACTTTTTTTCCCAATGGACTTCAGCCCACTGTGGCCATGTCAAAGTCAGTCGGCACATCGAAGTCGGCTCCAGTACGTCATTGGACTTCTTCAAGTTGGGCCTGCGAAGCCGGAGAATCGGATTGGATTAGGTTTGGGTTTCGCTCAGTCTCGGGTGGTTCGGTTTGATTTCGACACTTTGGGGCCTGTTTGGGGTGTCTACTGTATCGAGTGCGCTGCTTGGCACAAGTTGAGCTTTAAATTGCAGTGACGTCAAGTTGGCAGGCTTCATGATTATGTCCCTTTCCAATTCTATCCCTGTGCCCGAGTATTCCGGCGTCCTGGTTTCTGGGGTCCTTCCTCTCGGTTTTCGCTTTCGTCTCCGCTTCCTTCAGCTGCCTCGCCAGTTCGAGTTGATTGTGTAAAAGTGCGAAAACGAGACGAAACACTCCTTATCTGGCGGGGCCCATCGATAGATGTCATCTTGAGTGATTTACCGTCAATTGGGGATGTTGTCTTCAATGAATTTCTGCTATACCTCTCTGCGAGGTCTCCTGCCCCCTGATTTATGTTTATATTTATTTACGGTGCGTTCCGCTCGAGCCCGAGTATCTTTTCCATCACATACCGCGCCGAAAGCTATTAAGCGGAGTCAGAGCTTGCCGCAAAGTGTGAGAGCCTCGAAAATTAATCAATATTAAATGTCTGATTCCGAATTAAACTGTGGAGCGAAAGTCGATTGAGTCGACAAAAATGGCAGACATTCGAATCGCGAATTTAATGGAAAATATCTAAGAGGGAGGGTGGGATATTTTTTTTCACTCCCTAAGACATTATACAAATTCTATATTTACTATGTTATAGTTAAATCAAGAAATATTTTCTTTTTGTATTATTAAAGAGATGATACACCTAAAATTTATCTGAATGTTATTTGTAAAGAAAGAGTAAAAATGAATGTATGTATTTAAAGGTAAATTGTACCTTACACTTTTTTTCCCCTGTCCCATTGGAAATTAATAAATTTATAATAAAAAAATCGACTTCTAAAGAATGGTAAATATTTGTCAATGAATTCTTTGGAATATTGTCCCCATATCTTTGAGGAAAATCCTGTCTGTAACTCCATCAAGCCACATGTTCTCCGAAGCAAAGGCAATTGCAGTTATTAGCTCCAGTGTCACTTGCCATTGACAGGCTTCATTATTAACAAGTCTGGGAGGAAAAAGAGAAACCTGTTTGCGAATAATTTAGGACTCTGGCACTATGAGAAAATATTTGCGGCTACGGGGAACCCAAGTGACAAGTGAACCAGACGGAATTACATCGGCCAAGCCTACGCACAAAGGCACAACCAGAGTGTTGGGTCCAGAAATGGAACCAGTTTAGTGACAATAACAAACCGTAAGTGTCACCGGGCTGAATTTAGTTTATTGATGGATTATACAGGCCCGAATTCAAGCACACTGGTGGATGGGGCAAGTGGGGGCACGAGCCACATGAAAACACTGCGAGACATAACCATTTCAATTCCAGAGCCAATTTACATGACGATTATTAGCATTGACATTCCGCTCGACTGCAGTACGGGTCCCCAGACAATTGCAAAACAGAATCAATTAGACGACTTTACGGCTGATAGATACACAGTACTTAACACATGTTCGGGGAGGCAATGCCCCTATAAATACGAATTTGCAATTATTCATATTTGCGCAGCCCAGTAGTGCCCTTCGGGCAGAGCAATGATTAATATTATAAGACAATTAAAAACATGCTTTAGATAATGAATCTGGTTTGTACAAAATATTAAATAGTTTTAAAAATAAATCATAAGAAAATTATTAACTTATTTAAGATGCTGTGCCTAGTGATACAAACAATTTAACAATTCTAAGAATACAGAACCAATATTTTAACCTTGCAATTACATATTACTTTTTCAATAAAAAGCAATTCAAAAATGTTTATTAATTATAGATATGGGCTATCTAATTAATGATCAACCCATTATCTGAACTTAGAAACACAACATACCAACATAACTTTTAACATTTTTTAAACACCAGAATTCCGTATGAATAAAGAACTTGCTTCTTTAATTCCTGCTGCTGATACAAAACCCCACCAGCAATCAGCATTGAACAACTGAAAGTTAAAGATATGAGCATCGACTGCATTTTATTTGTTTGTTCTCGGGGCCGCCAAGATTTTTATGATGAACATGCAATTGCCGGACACTGATGGCTTCATGAGCTCCTTCGATCGGTTCGATTGGTTCTCTCAATTCAAGGCATATAAAGCCTGACAATTTATGGGCCATTCTCCGCTGGGTCAGTTGGAGTGCTTTGATTTTGTGCCCGTCTTACTTTCGACGAGATTGGAAAACGTTGCATGTCTGTCGATTAGCCGCCAGCTGGAGAAATATCTCCAGCTCTTGCAGTTATTGGCGAGCGCCCGCGCCGGGCAATTATTCACAATATCGTTTAAATTATTACCAGGCACATTGGCCGGCTTGGCCGAACGTGTTGTTTTCTAGTTTGTGAGCTTGTAAATTTTTGTTCCCCTGCTGATGAGGTTGTTGTGGCTGTTGTTTTAGCTGTTGCAGCCTCAACCCAGAAGCGTTTTACCATCAGGGCGCTCCTTCCTCTGCTCCGGAGCCAATCCTCACATCATGAGCACGCAATCGCAGTGCCGCCATCTCCACGTCAGCCACATGCGATGGGCCAACCGCGGAATGCACCACATGTGGTCACTTGGGCCAAGGGACGATCGCTCCAGATCGGTGGATGCGGTGGATGCTGCCTCTTAGGAGCTATTTGAAGGACATGGCGTCTAGTGCTCGGGAGCCATTTATTTGCTGCTAATGGAGTTCAATTATTAGGTTAAGGTATTGGTATTTAGGAATCTTAAAATAAAACAAAACAATAACTTTATGTACCCATTCTAATTGAGGTTTGTATATAAGCAGTAGCGGCCGAGATATTACTGTCACAGAAAAGTTAAATTTAAGAGTCGAAGAAATGTAGTTTACTTACCAGAGAAGGCATTACTAGGCTGGTTGCACTTAAGTGTTAGTACTATATTATTATGATAATTTAAAAAGAAGAATAAAGTTAAAAAGAAATAAGTTACAAATCTTGATATACACGGTACTCAACTCATAGGCAAAATGTAAAAGAAGAAATGACATAAATGGAAAATATACTATCTAATCTTTTTCACATACTTCTTAAGTAACAAAATGTACCCTTTTTCTGAGTGAATACGGGTAAGTTACTGGTTTGAACGTTGTTTATTACTAACTCATATTAATTGCTTGATTATTATAAATGTTTTAAGTAAAATGGCAACCTACTTTCAAAAACCAACTAAATAGTATATATACACAGCAGTACAGTAGTAGACAGCTGGTATACGTAGATTACAAACAGCATTCGCTTTCAGTCGAAGTACAACATATGGGTACTTTTAAGTTAATTCCAACGAAGATGTTATGATTTTTTTTCATTGCAGAACAACTCCTGAAGTTTTAGTTTATGGACAAAGCGGGAGAGAATAGGAGGGACTTTCGCAACCAAATAGAAAACCAAGCTCAAAGCACATGCCAAATTAATACTAAAACTCCGTTCTACAAATCTTTTATTTGTCCCGGCCAGTTGTCAAAATCAGAAGGCAAACATGGACTCAAATTAAGCACAAGTGTGGAAAGCTGGACACCACACCTGACATATCCACCTGCAGTACTCGCTTTGAACGCAGTCCGCAGTGGCGAATTGCAGTTTAGAAAAGAGTCGAACAATTTGCAGAACGCTGTCAATTTCAAAGTCAATTTAATGCAAAATGCGAAATGTTTGCCATCTTTTTTGATTAGCAATAAACTAATCTTTTGGACGTTGCTGCTGCCGCTGCAGTTGTCGTTCGCCAGACAATCGGAGTGCGGGGGGAGCGGATTCGGATTCGGACTCGGACTCGGTGGATTCTCTATCACGAGTCTGTGCATTTTTCAACATGGAATCTCATCAATGGCAGGCTACAACAATGGCAACAACAATGGCAACAACGACGACTGCCCAGTGTGTGGCCAGTGGTCAGTGTTCAGAGGTATGTGGCCAGGACGAATCCTTTCCACGGCATCGCTTTCAGATTTCAGAGGAAAAATATGTTTATTTAGAATATCAAAAACCGAAAGTAATCGATTTAATAAACTGTCACCAACATGTGACCCACCGGGTTGGCTTTCGTTGCTCCGCCGCATTGTATTGTATTGCGGCTTGTCTGGCCCTCGCTCAGGCCATCTCAAGTCACGATAATTGCAAATGTATCTCAGAGATACACACAGCCAAAGCGCACACACAGCACACAGCTGACTGCATTGACGTTCACTTTGGACAACATTTCATAAAGGGTTTGCTCTGCGCTCCGGTTTCTTCATTCTTTTCTGCTCGGTTCAACTATACACACATATTGTGTGAGTGGACTTAGCTTACTTAACCATGGTTAAAGGACTATCAAAAAATAGGACATTTAAAGCAGACATTTTAAGATTTTATTAATTTTTAAAACTGAATTTCATACATCCAAAAAAGCTATCTATCTAATATGAATGTCAAAGTTACCCATAGTTTAACCTACTAATTTATTTAATGTTACAATTAAGTGGTTGGTCTTTATAAATATTGTTTACATTCGAGAAAAGTTTAGTTACAATCTATTCAAAATAGGTTTTTACGTTTTATTTTTTACAATTTTCCGATTTCCAATTTTTTTTACCGTAAACCACTGTGCAACTCAGTGCGGCAGAGTGAGGTGGGTGGACGTCGTCAATGATATCTACGTGGTATCTCGTTAAGCGTTTCCATGCTAGCATCAGCAGCAGAAATTTCATATATGCTTGTGTGAAATCCTTTATGTTGATTACATTTCTGGGTTTATTTTATTAAAAATACTCTCGCATCGCATCGCATCGCAATGCAAGGATAACACACACACGGACATGCGAGCAGAAGAAAAAAGGGAACTGAAGCGAGAACTGTGGCTCAGTCAATATTGGCAGCGTCTGTGGCTGCCCCTCCCACGGTATCCTGGCCCTCGTCCTTTTCTGGATATTGTTCCGACTGCCAAATGCACGTTGCATGTTCGGCTGCAAAAATTTGCAATGCAGCCCACCTCCTGGCAGGTGGGCATCAATAAAAAGCCAGCCTACTCTCATCCCACCCAGCCTCGTGTTGCAAGTATGATGAGTGCACTCGACAGCACGAAATGTTGCCTTGAAAGGTGGAGCAGGTGAAAAGCGGGGACGGGGCGGCAAAAGTGCGAATGTTGGCCAACGAAAAAGGTCTTGATAAGCTCAACCAAATTAATGCGCAGAATAATACCAACAACATGCGAAACTTTTCTTTTTCACTAGGAAACTCACCTAATGTTATAAATGATTTACATTTAAATTTAAGTACGAGAGCAATGGTCCCAGAATCATAATAGTAATAGAAAAAGTTAACCATTTCAAAGGCATAGTTCATAAAGAAAGGAAATATATAAGTACAGTTTCAATGTTTTGAGGTTTGGGCAATTTGTAATAATTTTTTAGTATCGTGTTCCCATTTTTAAATGAAGTGCCCTTATCGCTCATTGAGAAAAATGCAGTTAATTTTACTTTTCAAAAAGACAAAATCCCCTCAACGATAAATCACGTGAACTTTGTCCGGCCAGTAGAAGCTCACCTGGGATTAGCTGATGAAAATCAATTTGAATAAAGTTCTTCTTTTCCATTTTCGTCTAGTGGTTTTCCGGCCTTCGAAAGTGTCAGCGGCGGAAAAAGGAGGAAGCCGTGGCAGCTGCCACACACTCAACACTTTCCGCATCAATTACGTCATGTTAATCCAAGTGTCCACTGCATGTCCGCAAACTGACCGACCATACATCACCCAACGAAGTGGGAAAGGGTGCTTGGTGCAACAATTTCTGGTGCAATGTGCACGAAAAAACCGAATGCCAACCAGCCGACATTTCAACTGCTTTGATGTCCCCTCCGTTTTCCCCAGAGCTGCAGTACCAGCCAACATTTCAATCAAAGGGACAGAGCCGGGGTTACTTGGCGCCCACCGTGGGGCATCGCAATGGCGCACATAAAACTCGCAGCGTCAGCGTTAAATGCGTTCGTGTCCGCATCCTGTCCGTGTCCCTGCCCGTGTCCGTGTCCGTGCCCATGTCCCTGTCTACTTTCCCGGCTGCCACTGTTGCGATTCACTCACTCACTCACTTCATTTCATCCTGCCTCATTCGCATGCAAAGGCGGTGTGCGAAATGAAGAGCTGCCGGGGCAACGACTGAAAGTGGAGCAGTGGAGTGGCACGAGTAGCCAACGAGAAACACAAAAAACTCAATTCGATTTAATTAAAACCAATTTTCGAGTTTGAGCTCTCTTCAGCTTTGGTTGGTTTACAACAAGGCTTTCAAATACCCTTCTAAGTGTAGATGCAATAGTTTCTTTTTATTTTGGGATAATTGATCCCTCCAATAATTGAGATTTAAATAATGTGCCTCAACGATATAAAACATATCTAAAATTCCGAATTTTGGAGTTGTAATAACCACTAAGAATATAATTATAAGTTAACTACCTATATCCTTGGTGTAATTTGAATTCACGTCTTTCTTTTTAATTAATCATAAGCCAGAATCAATACACCTTTATGAAGTTGTATCCTCATAGGGTATTTATCAATTAAATTATGATTATCAATAGGTATTTAGGATAGAGTATACCCTAGTTGATTGCCCTGTTTTGTAAACAACTTGCTAATAGAACCAACAGCAGTCCAAAAAGAGAACAACTGCAGTCAAGTTGGTCAGGTTGAGCACTGGATGCGTCTGGGTGCAAGCTGTCGAATTTACATTTGGTTTTTTCACTCCGGCTAAAAGTAAAATGTTTCACACTCTGATGAAGGTTGATTTAACCAATTTTTGTGTGTGTTTCGGTATGCAAAATAGGAAAAACAGGGAGAAGAACCTTTGTCAGTCGGACGGATTAAGTCGATGAAACGTGTTCTGGAAGTTTGATCAAATCGACAAGATGCAACGCTAATTAGTTTTACTTAAGTAAAATGTTGAAGTGAAGAATATTGTGAAGTTCTTCAAAATTAAAAGTACTTATGGTCAATTTCCTTTATAGATTTTGTTGGTACCTTCTGTCTGCAATATAGTCTTAAAAAATTCCAGAAAAAAATGTAAAAAAACGTGCATAATACTAAATACTTAATGTTTTTAAAAATCAACTAAATGTATACAATACAATACAAATATATATATTTAATGATTTCCTATTTATACACCAATTAAAAAATATTTACTATCAATTCCTGCAACCGTACCTACATTAAACGGCTTTTAAGGCGTAATTTTTGTGAAAAAAGTCGATTTTTATATTTTGTTAATAACAGTTCGCCCAAGTATTTAATATGTAAATAGTTCAATTTAGTCCTAAAATCCCTTTTTAATGGCTTTATGATATCGGTATTGAAAGTGTTCAACTTAAACTAGTGGCATAGGTACGACGGTTAGTAGCAGACAACATCCTATGGACAACCGAATGGTGCATGCTGCGTGTTTCATTTTCGGGCTTTGCTTTATCGAACTTTCCGCACAATTCGCATATTATTTTACGCACTTTTCGCCCACTTTCCCCCCGATTCCCCCTTTCCCCTCCTCACCAGTCATGGCTATCTCGTTCGATGTGCTGGCGGCCTAGGTCCTTCGTCCTTTTTGCTGGATACGCTGACATGGCTGGGCAGTGCATTGAAATCCACTTCATTTCAGTGCGATGGCAGATCCGATTGGCAACGGGCAAAATCAGAGTCACTGCCTCAGCCGGCGAAAGAGACGGCAGCTGGGTGCGCGAAAGAGACGGGACGAGCGACAGGGACAGAGACAGAGAAAGAGGGAGACAGAATCCGCGCACATTGAAGGGTATTAACAGTCATTATTCAATGATATCTGACTGCGGACATTGCAGGACAGGGACATCATCATTCGTGCGGAATGTTCGGATTCGCTTTCGCAGTTGTAAATGGATCGATTTACCTCCCACTCTTGGCCACCAGCTTTTCACGAGAGGATCAAGGCACACTGAACAAAAAAATAGAAACAGGATAAAGTACAATTCATATAAGTAAATATAGTAGTAGTAGTAGTTTTAGATGTAGTAACATTTTTTGAGGTGGGACCAATGATTCATTTTAGCCACATTACTTCTGAGTTAAAGATAAGTAACATTAAATAAAGTTGTTTAATATTTAGATTAGGTTAGAAAAATTAGTGTATTTAATACACTGTGTAAAAAAAGGGAAAAATATCTACTTAAAAAGTAAGCTCTGCTAAGTAGATTCAGTAAGTAGAATCTCCTTAAACGTTATTAGGGTCATTAGGGTACTTAAGCGATATAAAAATCATATACTTTGAAATCCTTTATATTACTAAGAGTAATTTTTTGAGTCCCATAAAATGTAAAGCATATAACAAACTATACATTTTATGTGTGGGACGAAAGTACACTTCTATATCCCGAATTCGATTTTTTTCTGTGCAGAACTTGGGGGTGGATGCATATGCATATCCTTAATTATGATTATTGTTATTTTCGACTCTGAATGTCGCATTTAATGCAGGCTGAAGCCTTGTGCCCCCTGCAACCCCATCCCAATCCCCTTCCCCACCCCCTCCCCCATTCCTTTTTCCCCACCCCCCGCTGTCCATCGTCTGGCTCGTTATGTTGTCATAAATTTTGCGCTTTGGTGGCAGCCAGTCTCCAAATGGCGGACCCCAAAATGACGTCTGGCCCATTAAAATATCGAACGCAGTCAGTCGGCTGTCAGTCCCTCGGCCCTTCGTCCTTATTGCCCCTTTAACCCCCTCATCCCCCCTCGTAACCCGCACCCAATGCTCTCCAGCGAATTGCATTATGACGCCATTCCAAAAATACCATTATTTTTTCCCGCTCAGTCGCTCCGCCATTCTGTCAGTTGTTTTTCGCTCCGAACTCGCATGTTTCACTGTAATTGATGACCGCCATTTTGTTCGATTTGTGTTTCAATAGCTCGGGGGAATAAAATAAAAACAGCTTCGACAACAATTGCAGATATTCCAGCCGCTTTTGACTATAAAGTAACTCGACTTGCCGCTCCAAAAGCTTAATTAAACCATAATATATGTTTCACATATTATTTTGGAAG